TTTACAACACGCACATATGTAGCTGGCCTGATATTAAAAAATACCAAGGGGTTTAGTTATGTAATTCTTCAGTATTCTAACTTAGTCTTTAATTTCTTCTCTGCGTAACCTAAGTTTCACAAACCATGCAAAAGTGAAGCAATGGCAAAGGGTCACATAAGATATGACTGAGAAAATGACCATAGGCACACATACATGTTTAAGAAAATTAAAAACAGTCCTAGCTAGTGCGGCTCAGTGGACAGAGCGTCAGCCTGCGAACTGAAGGGTTCTGAGTTTGATTCCAATCAAGGGCACATGCCCAGGTTGTGGACTCATCCCCACTAGGGGGCATGCAGGAAGCAGCCGATCAATGGATCAATGATTCTAACACTCTCCTCCCTTCCTTTCTGAAATAAAAAAATATATATATTTAAAGAAAAGGAAATTAAAAACAGAAGGGATGCAGCTATAGCTAAACACAACCCCTCGATCCTCATTAAATGCAAAATGAAAAATCCTCAAATGCTTTGTTCTGTCCTTAAATCTAAAGAATAAAAGCTTCCAGTACAGCAACTTTAGATGTTGCTGGAAAGGTTAATACATTCACTAGAAGGACTTCTATTAGGAAGCAGATTAACTCAACAACACGTTTTTGCTCCTTGTATTAACATGTAAAGTGACTCTGTGATACTGCGTTATAATAACAATGGCTCACATTCAGTGCCAGCTTTAAGGCAGGCCCCTCCAAAGCGCCCCACACCGGCGATCTCATCTAACCTCTGCGGGGACTGTGAAGTGGGCGGGCAGGGAAGGCATAGCAAAATGGGGGGGGGGGTGCCAGGCGGAACCTCGGCAGTTTCTCTCCAGGGCTCTGGTCTTCGCCAAACTTCCAATAACATCAATTAAGACAATTAGTTTGTCTTTCAAAAGTTTCTAATGACATGTAGGCACTTCCAAAGTTGTAAAAAAATTAATTTGATCCTGGGATTTAAGACGACCAAAAAGAACCCCACAAAACAACCCAAAACAAAAACAGCTGCGCGTCCATCGTGAGGGATAAAATGAAACCAAAAACACATGCTTTTAAACAGTAGTCTTTCTCATTCCCTCTATACAGTCAGAGCGATCATTTCTTTTCAGGCAAACTAAGTGTTTGTGTTTTGTTTTGCTTTCTGCCTGATCAGTGCATTTCTCGAGTCAATGACGCGATGGATGGTGGGCAGGCCCGCAGGACAGGAAGCGGGCGGGCCGGGCACCTTCTCTGTCGGCAGCTGCGGGACTGGGGCTTCCCCGGTCCCTGGACCAACACGTGCTTCAGGGGCCTGGGGCACCGGGGGAAGCCCAAGTCCGGCGCGGGGGCTTGAGCTCTTTCTGAGAAGGAGGCCCGCAGCGACCCCCTCCCTGCAGCGCTGCCTCAGCCGCGTCTCACCCGCGCGGTCCATTTCCACGTTATCCCCGGCTGTTCTCTGGCTCCGGGGACTCCGGGACCCTCGGGTTGAGCGCGCTGTTTAAACCCGAGCTCTGCCTTTCCGGCCGCCGCCCCCACCGGTGCCTCAGCACCGAAGGTCGGACGGGTGCTTCCCGGGCAGTAATAGTAACGGGGCTGGGCAACTGCACGCGGGGACGAGTCGATCCGCCTTCCCCCCACGAAGGCGTCCCCGGGTTAAAGCAATTCGGCGGAAGCACTTCGGGAGTGGGCGGCCGGCGCCCCAAGTAGAGAAAATAAAATGGGCGGCTTCTCACGGGAAAAAAGCTGGTCCCGCACGGCGCCCCGCCCAGGGCCTCCCGGCTCCCGCCCCCGCGCACCGTCCCCACGCCGGACCCGGGTCCCCGTTCTCCGACCCCACCCCGGCCCCTCGCCCCAACCCCGGCTCCCATCCCCGCCCTCCGACCCACCCCGATCCCCACCCCGGCCCTCGGCCCCACCCCGGTCTCCGGTCCCCAGCTCCCGTCCCCACCCCGGTGCCCGGCCCCGGCCAGCACCTCTCTTCCGCCCGAAGGTCCACTCCCGTTTCCGCAGGAGAACGTGCGGCTCGCCCTCCTCGGCGCCCAGGCGGAGGAGCCGCCCCCACGGCTGCTGCGGAGGCGGCTGCTCGCCTTCCCCCGGCTGCTCCATCCGATTCACATCTGTCGAGACTCCCACCCGGAAACGTCGGGACGGGCGGCTGCCCGCGGCTCCGCCCCGTGGCCTCCGGGCCGGGCCTCAGCGCCTCCGCCGCGCCGCCTCCCGCGAGCCGCCCGCCCGGCTTAGCCCCCGCCCCGCGCCGAACCCGGAACCGGCCGCGCCGCCGCCGCTGTCAACAGACATCGCGGATTCCTCAGCTGATCCGCGGGGCGGGGCCCGCGGCTGCCATTGGCTGGGCGAAGGGCCCCCGAGCGCGGCGGGCTAGAGTGGACGCGGGGGGCGCGTGCGCACACTGGAGGCTGAGGTCCAGGACGCCATCTTTGGTGCTGGCCGGAAGGTCTGCGTCTTCGCGGACCTCGGCTGTCGCCGCCGTCCGTGCGTGTTAAGTCAGGGCAAAAGGCGGAGTCACTTGCCAATGGAGCACCGACTGGAATGCTCGAGCCGTGCGGGAAGCGCAGAGACGCACACAGACCCAGCAGTTCAGACTCCGCGCGAGAGTCTGTTAAGACGTGAGGTGCATTGCTACCCCATCAGTGTTATTTCAGGCTGATATGATCTACTCTTACGGGGTAATGGGGAAAAACGTTTACTTCCACAGGGAATGAGCCCTTCGTTTTGTTGTATCTCACAAGGAAACTATTTTAGATGACTAAGTACTTAAATGTGACACATACACACCCCACTCGTGTCCCGGATACCGAGATTCCCCCTTTACAAGAGTAAATCTTGAGAAATGCTTTCTGTTGGGTTATTGGACAGTAGGAGATTGTTGTTGATTTCCTTGGATGGAGTTATTACAATAGCTTGGTTATGTTGGAAAATGCCATCTTTAGATACAGTACTAAAGTATTTAGGGATGAAATGTCATCGTTATAATTTTCTTTAAAATGCTTTAGCAAAAGAATAAAATGAGAAGATAAGGCCTCAGTGCCTCCGCCGCGCCGACTATTTACATGAGTCTCATCTTGCCTCATGCCGGCTGGGCTCAGGGAACATATTGTTGTTAAATGTAAGCAAAAATAAAATCCCATTGCTGAGAGGCACATGGCTCAAACGACTATTGAAACTGCTGCCACAAAGGAAGGAAGATGCAGGGGGAGCAGGAATATGGCCTCACAGCAGTGCAGCAACTGTGCTACATGCTTTTCCTTGGTGATACTCAGACTGTATTTCACATACAACCAGATTTGTTTAAAACATAATCTATTGGTTTAATGGACAGGAAGTCTTGTTCTGCATCTGGTATCTTATGAAAACCACAAAACAGCTGCTAGAATAAATACATTCTGTAGTCAGTGAACAATCCTGACAAATGGACAAATGGATCATATCTCAAATGACATCCCCAGGGCCTGGGGATCATGGCCCCCACCCCTCCTCACAGCACAGATGGATCGGACACGGTAGGACCACTACAGTCCCATTTCAGTTTTGTTGGGAAATGGGAGCCCCAAAGCTTAATGTGTCAAAAACGACACGGTAGCAGGATAGCTAGTAATGCAAATGAGGTGTACCTCTTGTGCTCCTGACTTTTTCAAACCCTCAGTCATTGACTAGTCAGTGAAGTAACGTAAACGTAAGGATTTTGAGCTACCTGAGCTGTTTTAAACAGCGATGAACACAGAATAATTAATAGTAGCATCCTAAGCATCTATCTTCATTTCTAGGGAGATAGAGGGGTTCCAAGCCAACTCTGCCACCTGGGAGCTGAGTGACCTTGGTATATCGAAATACCTTGTAGTTAGCGATGAGCTGAACACACAGAAAAGCACGAAGCACCCCCGCTCCCGGAGGTGCCAGTGCATAACGAATGGCAGAGTTAGTGATTCCTCATTCCTTCCATGGGAAACCCTCAATAATGCAAAAGCGTGCAATCAAACACCCTCACTCAGGCACTAATCCAAGCAGGGGCCTAACTGATGATGGTCGGTGGGAGGCAGTAAGACAGGAAAGGAAGCCAAGGGTACCGGTGTGTCCCTTGGGCAGAGCACTGGACGGGAGGATGTGGAATCAGGCCTGGCACGGCCACTATGTGATCTTTGGCAAGACATTGCCAATCTGTGTAACAAGGATTTGGTTTGGTGACATTGTTGGCGTTTCCAACTTTCAACTGCCTACAGTCCTACCAGACCCTCATCTTCAGAAGCACAGGGCAGATGTGGGCAAACCTTAACACACTGTCTTCTCTCTACTTTTCTTGGAAACTATGTTCTTGGAATGGCTAAGCTACGAGTTTTCTACTCTGTTAAGCCTCAGAGGATTAGGGGTCCCCTCCACCCATGTTTAGTTTGCAAAAAAGCAGCCTTTTTCCATCTGTGGAGACACCAGACCCCAACCAGGTGAGCGAAGGACTAGGTGGCTCATTAACTCAACACAGCCAACAACTGAATTGAGATGTGCTTTTCACTTGATGTTTTAGGTGTAGCTGATCATGTTTTGGGAACTGGTGTGAGTTCAGATTAGGTTTGGGAAACAGAGCTGGAATGGAAGCCAGAGTTTATTGTTCCTATTGATCACATTCACTCGTATCGATTTTATCAAACTGTACTCAGTAAACATAGGCACAGAGGTTTTCTTTTCAAATACAGCACCGAGACAAGTGTCAGCAACAGGTCTGAGCCGGTGCAGCCCCGACCCCCAGATGTGCTGTCAGTGGGAGCAAGCATCAGCAGCTAACAGAGATTGTGCCTCAGCAGGAACAGCAGCCTGACCTTTGTTTTAGCTATTTACCACATTCTCATACGGAGAGCACGGCTGGTCCCAGATCTCAGACACCGCTTGACACAGTCTGCTTCATACAAACACTATTCACAATAGGATAAATGTATGGAACTCAATCATGCCCAAAAATGGCCTTTCCCTCCACTATATGGCAAGTAAGGGGGCAGAGAGAATCCTGATGGTGGAAACCACTTTATTATCATACATAGATCACACAGCACTGCTACAGAGAAACCATCACTGGAACGCCACTATGCATATTCTGTGCAGCTGCTACAAACACAAGCCATCCTGCGCCCAGAGGAAACGGGTTTCTGACTCCGATGATACAGTCTATTCAACTATTTTTAAAGGTTCATACTTACGCACTATTGTGGTCATACACTTTACTTCTAAGTAGATCATAACGCAAAACACATTGTCATTGCTTTGCTGTAAGCAGGACTATTACTGTTTTAAAATGAGGAAAATAGCTTTTATATTTACCTATATATTCGCCATTTCTAGAACACTTCCTTTCATCCTGGAGATCCAAATTTCCACTTAACGTTATTTTCCTGCTGCCCCAAAACAACTTTAATGTTTCCTGAAGGCAGGTGTACAGTGATGAATTCTCCTTTTGTTTTCCTGAAACATCTTCTTGCTTTCATTTTTGAAAGATGCTTTTGATGGGTAAACTCTAGGTTGCAAGTTTTTTATCCTCTTTCAGTAATTTACAAATGGTTCCCCACTGTCTTTAGTCAGAAGTGTGCTGTCATTCTTTGTCTTTTTTGCTTCAGTTGCTTTACTGAGGTTCTCACTGGTTTTCATCAAGTGGACATGATGTCCATTGGCATGATTTTGTTTCTTCTGTTTTGTGTTCTTTGAGCTTCTTGAATATGTGGAATTATACTTTTCAGCATATGTGGAAATTTTTCAGCCACTACTTATTCAAATACTTCCTTTTCCTCTTCTCTCTTCCCTTCTGAAACTCCAATTATATGTATTTCATACCACTGTAGTGGACCCCCATTCCCTTCCCTCTTTTTTCTCTGTGTACCTCATTTGGATAGTTTTTATTCTTACTATTCAGGTTCATTATTTTCTTCTTCTATGTCTAATCTGTTCTTAATTCCACCCACATTTTTTTTAATTTTAAATAATTCTCACCCTGTGAAGCCCCATCTGGCTTTTAAAAATATATCTTCCACTTCAAGTTTCATCAAATTCATGTTTTCCTCTGCTTTATAATAGCTATATCAACATCCATGTCTACTAATTCTAACCACTTCTAACCACAGTCTTTTCTATGTCTCTACTGATTATTTTTCTACCTGTTACAAGTCACAGTTTCCTGCCTTTTTGCATGCCAGACATTGTGGGTCCAAAGTAGCTTTTAATCTAGGGTTAATTACCACACTACTAAGGCAACAGTCTTCCGGGAATTCTACCTGAAGCCCATGTGTTAAAAGTTGTTTCGACTGTGGCCGGTGGGAACTGTTGTCAGCCCTGCACTGAGTTCTAGGAACTGCTCGGCCTACTGCTTTCCAGCCCACTTTATCTGCTCACAGGACGACGTGTCCATTTCTGCAGTCCTCTCCCTGGGAGGCTCCTTCCCCTCCAGTGCTTTCCTTGCAAATGCTATTGCCATGGCCTCCCCAAACGCCAATCCTGCAACTCTATTCAACGTGGCAGGACTACGCTTGTTCCCTTTCCTGAACTGCAGCCTGGAAACTGCCACCACTTTGTCCACCTTCTGCCAGCAATGACAAACCTCTGCTTGTCACATGTCTAACACCAGTTTTTAGCTGTTTAAGGCCAGAGAGTTAATTTGGTCCTTGATCTGCCACCACTGCAGAAAGCAGATGTCCTCACACTTAAAACATATCTATCATTTAAAAATGACCGTCTCTTATAATTTGTATACAACAAACTACTTCGTTACTGAATTATTTCAATAGCATGATGCTTATAAAGTTCTTCCAACTATTAGGACTACTTCTGCCTATGAAATCTCTAATACTCAGTATTTCCCGTATGTACACATTCTCTAGTATGTTACCCTCAATGAAATCTTCCTCTCACTTGTTCTGACCTATTTAGGTCTTCTAAATATTTAACAAGCTTTCACTTTTGACCAAAAGTTTCTGTTATTGATAGATGAGCTATCAATGTGTAATAACTTGTGTCTTCTGGGAGAAGGCTTTCTTATATTGTCTACTTTTTAAAAAATCTTTCTGAATTCTTTTTAGTGACTCATGCCTTTCCAATAAAATTTTTTTCCCAACAGTCACTGCAATGACAAGGTTTCTGTCCTGTGTGTGTATCCTCAGAAGCACTAAGAGACATGACATCTGCTAGCAGCCTTTCCATACTCACTGCTCTCATGTGGTTTCTATATTACATGATTCTTCTGATGGATCATGAGCTGTGACTTCCTCTTGAAGGTAGTCCCGCATTCGTTGCACCCATAGTATTTATCACCTGTGTGAATTCTCTGATGCCTCATAAGGTGTGACTTTCTAGTGAAAGATTTTCCACATTCTCCACATTTATAGGGCCTCTCTCCTGTATGAATTCTCTGATGTATAATTAGCTGTGCCTTCTCAAAGAAAGCTTTTGCACAATCACTGCATCCATAAGTTTTCTCTCCTGTATGATTTCTCTGATGTTTAATGAGTTGTACTTTCTGAACAAAGGCTTTCCCACATTCATTGCATGCATAGGGTTTCTCCCCTGTATGGATTCTTTGATGCCGAAGAAGCTGTGGCTTCCAGGCAAAAGCTTTCCTACATTCACTACATTCAAAGGGCTTTTCCCCAGTATGGGTTCTCTGATGATGAATGAGACTTGACTTCTCACTGAAGGTTTTCCCACACTCACTGCATTCATAGGGTTTCTCACCTGTATGAGTTCTCTGATGGGATATCAGGCTTGACTTTTGGGTGAAGGCTTTCCCACATTCATTGCATTCAAAAGGTTTCTCTCCAGTGTGAGTTCTCTGATGTGTAAGAAGCTGTGACTTCCCAAAGAAGGTTTTGCCACATTCAACACATCCATAGGGTCTCTCTCCTAAGTGAAGTTTTTGATGTCTTATTAACTCTGACTTCTTAAAGAAGGCTTCTCCACAGTCGCTACACTGACAGTTCTTCTCTCCTGTGTGAGTGATTTGATGTCTGATAAGCTGTGGTTTTCTGATGAAGGCTTCACCACATTCACTGCATTCATAGGGCTTCTCTCCTGTGTGAATCCTCTGGTGCCTGATAAGGAGTGAGTTCCTGCTGAAGGCTTTCTTACACTCACTACATGCATAAGGCTTCTTTCCTGTGTGAGTCCTTTGATGAGTAATGAGCTGTGACTTCCAAAAGAAGGCTTTGCCACAGTCGCTACATTTATAGGGTTTCTCTCCTGTATGCGTTCTCTGATGTGTAATGAGCTTTAATTTCTGGGAGAAAGACTTCCCGCAGTCACTACAGCCATAGGGTTTCTCTATTGTATGGGTTATCTGATGTCTTTTAAGCTGTGACTTCCTGCTGAAGGCTTTTCCACACTCGCTGCATCCATAGGGCTTCTCTCCTGTATGAGTTCTTTGATGTAAAATGAGCAGTGACTTCCTACTGAAAGCTTTTGGACATTCACCACATCCATATGGTTTCTCTCCTGAATGAGTCCTTTGATGAATAGTGAGCAGTGACTTTTGTGAGAAGGCTTTCCCACATTCACTGCATCCATAGGGCTTCTCTCCCGTATGAGTTCTGTGATGTATAATAAGCTGTGACTTCTTGTTAAAAACTTTACCACATTCCATGCATAAATAGACGCCTCTGTGTGTTTTATGGTTTGTAATGAGCCATGACTCTTGGTTGCAGGCCTTTCTACATTTATTGCAATCACAGTATTTTATTCCACCAAAGGTTCTGTCAGTTTTGATATAGAATAACAATTTCTTATTGAGCTCAAGTTTCTTTCTTCCACGGTTATTTTTTTGAATAAGAAAATCAAAAGGATGATTCAAACTTTTTTCACTTGTGCCACATTTATGGAGTCTCATTCCTAAATGAACAAAGTTAATGCTTGAATGAAATATTTTCCCCAAAACATATTGATGGCCTTTCTCCACATTTTTAAGCTTGTCTTGATTATTGTGGTGCCACATTTTGAGATTATTATCTAGCCAGAGTTCTTCTAAAAATGAAAAAATGAACCATACTGTGTAAATCCCCCAATGATTGTGTTTATTAATTAAAACTTCTGAAATGGAGCCTAGGATCCCAGTCCAAAAACAAACAAAAAAAATCTCCCAAATACATTGTCTACTTATTAGGCATTAAAATTTTTAACAAAAATGAAAACAGACTTTAAAAATTACAAATGTTTATATAAACACAAACTGTTAAATAAGAAAATATGACATATACTCAAGGAACAGTGATCATGAGATAAAAAAGACAAGCAACTTCTAATCAAATACTGGAGTGGTTAAAAAAAAATTTTTTTGTTTTGTTAATCCTTACCTGACAATATTTTTCCCCATTTTATTTTTAGAGAGAGTGAAAGGGAGGGAATGAGGGGATGGGCGTGAGGAGGGAGGGAGGGAGGGAGAGAGGGAGGGAGGGAGGGAGGGAGGGAGAGAGAGAGAAATATTGATGTGGTTGCCTCCCACACACCCTGCGCCTAGGGTCAGAGATCAAACCTGCAACCCAAGTAAGTACATGCCCTTTACCAGGAATTGGAACCCACAACCCTCCCGTGCGAGAAAAGAAAAATAATAAAGGAAACTCAAATGTAATCAATGTCACCTAAAATGAGGAAAACCTACAAATTTCTAAAGAGGAAGAGAGAAACCTGCCTCTGGTGCAGGAGAGAAGGAAATGGAGAATGAGGAGACTGGAAGAGCCTTATGCATGGAAGCAAGAGACGAAATGACTGGCTCCGAATGTGGGTAAGATAGGTGCATTTCATCATCAACTCCACCCAAAGGGGACACATCCTGACGTGGAGACCAGGATCTAGGGCACGTTAAAAGTCATGCAGAACTATGTCAACAGTTCTGAGTCAACTCTAAAGACCTAAGGACTTTAAACAGGTTTATACATAACATTTCAAGAGTAGCAAACTTTCTTCAAAAACCTGAGATGTAACCTTCACCATATGCCATACACTGGATTATCTCTCACCTGAGAAGTTGTGATTTAGAATTTCTTCATTTATTTTCCAGGGCTCTTCTTGCTCCAGCTTCCAAACTGCATCCGGTTTGATAATTTCATGACCTATTAGTTGGACACAGTTGCTTGAGCTAAGGGACTCTTAAATGTGAAGAATATTTTACTACAAAGGCTACAAAATAAAGCAAGTGAATAAAAATCTTTCAGTTGGGTATAGAAATCAAAGAATCCTTGACATCTGTAACTTAAACCCAAAATCAATAAAATCTTAGAGGCCCCACCATTATTGGGCATACACTGTATTACATAAGAATGTTCTTACCCAAGAACACTAGATTGCTATAGTTCTCCAACATCACGTCTCTGTACAAGTTCTTCTGGATGGGATTTAGTAGCTGCCACTCCTCCAATGTGAAATCCACAGCCACATCCTCAAATGATATCTAGAAAAGCAGAATCCCTGTTAAAGCGGAAGTGATCCTCATCTAGAATGCAGGCTTTCTTCTCTATAGAGGTAGGCAGTCCCTCAGTGGGCCCCACTGACCTCTAACTCCTGGTATTCATGCATCTGGGTAACACTGCCCTCCTGAATACGGGCTGGGAGTACTGACACACTGCCGCTGAACAGAACAGGCCCGAAGTGACAGAACGTCACCTCCCAGACCGGCTTACAGAAGAAGGCACTTCCGTCTGGGAAACCCTCTCTGGCTCTCTGGGGGAGTCCAGCTGCCATGCTGAGAGGCATTCCGTGCTGAAGCCCATGAGGCTGAGGCCTGCTCACACCCACGTGAGTGAGCTTGAAAGGGGACCATCCCCCATTGCACCTGCAGTGGACCACAGCCCTTCTCAACATCTTGACTACAGAACCCAACGGGTAAGCAGCTGGCAGATTCCTAACCCACAGAAACTGTGAGATAAAATCCTGTGTTTTCAGCCAATAAGGTTTGGGGGTAATTTGTTACACAGCAATGGTCAACTAATATAATATCCTAATCTTGCATTACACCCTGAGAGAGAGACAAAAATGTTATTAAAACATCTATCATTATGAACTCATTCATCTATCCATTAAATAAGAAACTGAAATAGGTTGTCTTTGAATAAGTGCTATGTTTCTCAAAGAAGGTGCCACTGGTACTTGGGAACAATTCTTAGCTGAGTGCAACTGCCCCACCCAGTGGGAGCCCTTCAGCAAGCCCGGCCGCTCCCTGCTAAATGACAGTGCCCTGTCTCAGTCACTCAAACACTCTCTTTCCCCGGGGGTGCCTCTGCTCCCAGGTAGGAACAGCTGGCCAGCTCTGTAGATGTCGTCTAGAACACAGATACTGAGCACGTACGGTTCCCAGAACTGTAACAGGTGCCAGAAATAGAAAGATGTGTAAGAAAAAAAAAATCATCTTCTCAGATATCTTGTCTTTTGGGGTCACAGGTAGTAAGGTGTTAGAGAGGCCATGAAACAAGGATATACCGGGCACTGGGACAAAAGGCAAAGGAACTAGTGCAGCAAAAAGGACTTGGAAAAAGAAAATGGTGCAGGACTCAACTGGCCTGACTTCAAGACTTCCTATGAAGCCACAGTAGTTAGGACAAGGTAGTATTGTGAACAAGTACATGCACGGACAAATGGAACAGAATAGAGAGCCTAGAGATGGACACCTACAAATATGCTCAATTCATTTTTTTGTTGGATATTTAGTTTATTTCTGGGTGGGGTTTTTTGTTGTTTTGCTATTATTAATAATGCTGGGATGATCATCCTTTTAATTAAACTGTGGAGCATACACCTAATTATTTTCAATAGATTTTTGGCAAAGGTACCAAAGCATTTCCACAGAGAAAGTGTTTTCAATAAACGGTGCTAAAACCACTGTATACCTGTAAACAAAAGAATAAACCTCAACACATACCTCATGCTGTATTTAAAAATTAACTCTAAATGGATCACAGACCTAAAGGTAAAACCTAAAACTATACAGCTTCTAGGGATAAAACAGGAGAAAACCTGTGTGACTTGGGTTTGACAATGAGTGTTTATTTACACACCAAATACACAATCAATTTAAGAAAAAATTTACTAAGTTGGATTTTTTTCAAAATTAACTAATTTTTTCTCTGTAAAAGGCTGGTTAAAAAAAAAAAAAGAAAGAAAGAAAAACGCAGCAAAAACAAGGAAAAAAATATTTGCAACTCACTTATCTGAGAAAGCACCTGCCTCCTGCATGGCCCCCACTAGGGACTGAGCCCGAAACCCAGGAATCAAACCATGATCTCCTCACCCAGCTGGTGTGGCTCAATGGTTTGAGTGTCGACCTATGAACTAGGAGGTCACAGTTCAAGGGAGAAGGGAAACTTCTCTCCATTCTGACTCAGTGCCCAGTACTTTCCTACTCCCAGCCCTTTCAGCTCACTCTCCTCCTGACCCCAGACCACAAAACTGCTGGAGCTTGTTCCAGGCTCCGGGAGGAAAGGGGCAACCCCAGGTCTGCGCTGACCCACCTGAGCCTCCACCTGTGTGCTGCAGGAGACGGATGGGGGGCAGGTGCCTCCTCAGTTAGGTTCTGGCTGCACCATTGCAGTATACGATTAGAAGCTCAGTTACTTTCACTTTGGCTGTTACTTTATTTTTGTTTGTTTGTTTGTTTATCCTCACTGAGGATATGTCTTTTATTGATTTTTAGAGAGAGTGAAAGGGAGGGGGAGAGACGAGAGAGAGAAACATCGATGTGAGACACATTGACTGGTTACCTTCCGCACACGTCCCAACCAGGTCTGGACATCAAGCCTGCAACCAAGGTACATGCCCTTGACCAGAATCTAATCCGAGGGCTGATGCTCTAACCACTGTAACCACTGAGTAATACAGGCTAAGGTTTGGCCGTTGCTTTAACTGGCTACTCTGATACTGGCAGCTGGGCTCCCTCAGCTCAGCTGAGCTCCTGACACAACTACATCAAGAAAGAGGAGTCTGACTGGTGTGGCTCAGATGTTGAGAGCCGACCTATGAACCAGGAGGTTACAGTTCGATTCCCAGTCGGGGCACGTGCCTGGGTTGTGGGCTTAATCCCTGGGGGGGCGCATGCAGGAGGCAGACAATCAATGATTATCTCTCATGATGTTTCTATCTCTCTCTCCATCTCCCTTCCTCTCTGAAATCAATAAAAATGTATTTTAAAAAAAAGAAAGGAGAAAAGCCAGTGTAACTGTATACTAGTTTAAACAGAATTTTTAAAGGAATGAAGGGAGGGAAAGAGAAAGAGGGAAGTTAGCTCAGTGGGTAGGAGTGGCTTTGAAAAGCTAAGGGACATGACAGTCTGTTTCTTGAGTCAAGAAATTGAGGGAACAGGGCTGAAGGCAGACACCCTCGTGCCCAGCTTTTGCCAACAGAAGCAAAAACGTTTCCAACCGAGCGATTATGATGGGACCACCTGAGGTTTTCTAATGACCACTTCTGCCCGTGATTCAGGTTCTTTCCTAAACGTAGAAGACGGGCAGCGTGTCCTGCAGGCCCACTGCTGCCGTCCTCTAAATGCCTGTGTTCTGCACCCTCCCGATTCACACCCTTCGCTCGCAACTAGGGGCCTCCTAAGAATCCCTCCTAATAAATGCGTTCATGTCAGCGACATGAGCGGCTATCGACGAGTTTCCTCCACGTGGAATCCTCAGCAAACGCTTGCTCCTACCCCGTAAAGGCTTTGCCTTTTGTAGCTGTTCCTGCTGCCTTGTCTGCCCGGCTTCTGGGAAGCGCTGAAGAAAGCCTGCAGCTCATCTCTAACCGTGAAGGACCCATTTCTTGTACATCTGTGTTCCAACTGGAAGACTTTGGTTTGATTCCACACCCACTGGTGCTTCCTTGACATCTGTGTGGTATGTGGGCCCTCCCCCCGGGGAAATGCAATGAGGGCCGTTGGTAAGTGCATTGCAGGACCCTGGGAGAACCTGCCAGCTCCCCAGTCAAGGAACAACCAGGAAGAAACCTCTCGGATGTGAGCCTGGATTTTAACAGCTGGCGTTTTGATCTCACACAGCTTGCACGCAAGCAGGTCCATCCTGCCTGCAGGACTTATTACCCTGTTTGCTTTGTTTTCTGTACTGTGCATAACCCTGTACTGAAAAAGCCTGTGTTGCAGAGACTTCACCGGTGCGCTCATAAATCCTAATAAACTCATGTCTTTCACAGCCAGACCTCTGGGTTATTTCTTTGGAACCAGCAAGCAATATACTGAGGCCTTCTTGAACCTCAGCTCTTTGCCTAACAGCATCCTTCCCAAGTTTATACTGTTTTCTATGGTTAGGATCTAAATGTATGTATACCTGTCCTGTTGCTTGTAAAGATTCCTCTAAGCCCATCACACCCACAGGAAAAATTTCTGGAGAATAAACACATAACTCACCTGTGGCATGATCATTTTCTGCTGCTTTGGGGAATTCTGCTGGTCTGGGCCTTCTCTCTGTCCTGACGCTCTGGAAACTGCCTCTCCTTCCTTACCTCACCTGAGGCATCTTGTTCCTGAGGGCCATGGCCTGGAGATGCAGTGGGAATTTTATTTTAAATGGTGTAATTAATTTGGGAACCTAAATCCCAGTTCTCTCTCACTGGGATCTCAGACAAGTGTTTGCTGCACTCAAATCAGAAGCAGAACGGAATGTGAGCCACCAGCAGGTCTCAGCTGAGCCTGGCCCTTCCCTTTGCAGCCCTGGCTCCCACCTGGAAATGCCAGATGGAAGCCACTCGCCTGGTTCAACCAAACAAACCTGGACCACCCCCATCCCTTCCCCATCACTCACTCACACACACACACACACACACACACCCCAGAACTCTCTGCAGAGACCTCAGTAAAGCCTGAACATACAATCTTGGCTCTCTCCTTCTGCAGCAACATTTCCTGGGGGCACTTAAATCAAATTTACTTGCTTAGGTGCCACAGTGTAAAATGCAGGATGGTAAACAGAACTGGCTTTTAGATCAAGATGGGGAAGTAGCCTGGGTGCTGGCTCTCTACTCCAAATTCAGCCATAGAGCAAAAGGAATGCAGAGATCAGAGGAACCAACAGAAAGAGCAGCAGGAAGAGAGACCACGGGGGAGACAGCGGTGGTGAAGCTGACGGCACAGGCATGTGTGACAGCTAGAGCAGAAGGCAGCAAGAGGCCTAAGGAAACCTGTAATGTTGCTTCTTTCTGGGCTCACGCTGGGGCAGACACTGCCCACCTGTTCCCTCAGAAACCAGCAGAACAGCCCCAGACAGGTTTCTAGGGATAATTGGGGCAGATCAAACTCCAGGTGAATTAAGAAAACCATGCAAATGGCAAGGGCTGCTCAGCTGCCCTTGGGGGTTTACTCATCTCTTACCTCCTCTCAGTTCCCCAGGGCTTTTTTCTAAGGCAGTGGTTCTCAACCTTCCTCACGCCACGACCCTTTAATACAGTTCCTCATGTTGTGGTGACCCCCAACCATAAAATTGTTTTCGTTGCTACTTCATAACTGTAATTTTGCTACTGTTATGAATTGTCATGTAAATATCTGATATGCAGAATGTATTTTCATTGTTACAAATTGAACATAATTAAAGCATAGTGATTAGTCACAAAAAACAATATGCAATTATACATGTGTTTTCCGATGGTCTTAGGCGACCCCTGTGAAAGGGTCGTTCGACCCCCAAAGGGGTCGCGACCCACAGGTTGAGAACCGCTGTTCTAAGGGCTCCTGACCCCTGATCTGAGGAGCTGTTTGGAGAGTTGACGGGACTCAGATGTCCAGCGGTTCTACAGGGTCCCTCCCCTCTCTTCAAAGGCCTGGCCTCAGCCTCCCCTGCTGCGAATTACCAGAGCTTGTGCTGAGAGTAGCTAACACCTCTAGGGGGATATGGGCTTAAACACCTGTAAGAGCAAATGTAAGTTAAAAATGAAAAACTAATTCTCCCTCATGGAAAAAAGGAGAGAGACTTCCCAACCCCTTTTCAGACAGCATTTACTCTAGAAAACCTGTCATTGTAAATTCTCTGCCCCTGTGAGATGTATGTTAATCTTTCCTAAAGCTGAAGAAGCTTTGCCCCTTTAACAACCCAAGAATGTCTTGCTCAGGGACCTGGAAGGCCATCTCTTTGGAGCCTAATTGGCGGATTTCCACCCCGGGCTCCAGGGGAATGTCATAAAGATATGAAAAGTTTAGTTTTTTCTCTGGGTAAAGGCAGTTAGCGGCACTGATGGCCACTCCAGTCACCAGGTAAATCTAGGATGGACTGTGTGTGACATGTGATCATTTATCTAGAGAACGTGTGTGTGATGGGTTGTACAAAAAGGGTGAGCCTTCTCCCCGTCTCTACAATCTCTTCAGCAGACTGCTTGCTCTTCTACTTTTTTGGAGACTTTTCTGGGTTGGCAGGTGATGATTTTAATTATTTCCCTAACATGCCAACCAGATTAACTGGATGCAACCACTATTTTTAACACTTTTGAAAGATCACAAACTGCATAACATATATCACCTTTCAGTGGTTCTCAACCTGTGGGTTGCGACCTGTTTGGGGGTCGAACGACCCTTTCACAGGGGTCGCCTAAATACATCCTGCATATCAGATATTTACATTACAATTCATAACAGTAGCAACATTACAGTTATGAAGTAGCAACGAAAATAATTTTATGGTTGGGGGTCACCACAACATGAGAACTGTATTAAAGGGTATTAGGAAGGTTGAGAACCACTGCCTTAGATGGAATTATTGGGACAAACCAAGATTTAAAAGAAGCATGATAAACAAAAATATCACTTTGATGCATAAAAACACTTACACTTTCTTCACTGTCTTCCAGCCAGACCCGGGACAGAGAAGGACCTCCTGGCACGGGGATATTTCCTTCCTAAGAACACACCGGAAGGGAATGTCCAGTAAGCTCGGGACCTGGTAGACTCGGATGCAGGGGACAGGTTCCGCCTTTCCCAGCAAACCTGCCACAGGCAGACCCAACAGTGGGCCTCCTTCCAGCAAATGAGCGGAGCAAGGAGAGGCTGTCACGCCGCGGAGGCCCCGTTTGACTAAAGGAAGCGGGAAGGTGCCTCCCATGTCCCCGTGGATGTGAATGGGCACAGAGGGGGGTGGACGGCAGTGTCCGCTCATCGGCCGCAAAGAGGGGAGAAGGTGACACCGGGTGTGAGCCCTCCGCCAGGCTCTGCCCCGGAAGCGGGACTCTTCAGCCCAGTGCGAAGGGCGTGGGGCTTGAGCGGGTCTCTCCTGGCGATGCCCTGGGAGAGCCGACAGCAACCAGCGAATGGAAAGCGCCTCTTCCCAAGCTGCTCGGTCCAGGCAGGGCCTCTCCTCACCCGCTGCTGCCTCGGAGCCGTCACCACTGCCACCCCGTCTACGGACGCCCCCGAGCCGCTCCCGGAGATCCACCCGCGGCACCGCCAGCCGTTCCTTCCCTGCGGTGGCCCCACAACCTCGCCCCCCGCCGAGCTCAGGTGACTGCATTCACCGCTTTATCCTCAAACGCCCCTGAGTCACCGCTCCCGGCCTCCTCCCAGCCCCTCACCCGCCGCCGGCCCCACGTCTCCGTCCGATCGCACACTCTCGCCGCCCCGGCCCCCTAACGCGCCGCACCCGCTCCCTCCCTTCCCGCAGCCCCGCGGTCCCCACCCACCCGGACGGGAACCGCCGCGCCGCAGGGCCGTTCTCCGGGCCTGCCCAGCACCGGCTCCGGGGCCGTTCGTGCGCGCGCCAGGGTGGCCGAGGGACTGGGCGGTCACGGGGGCCGCCCCAGGCCGAAACCTCCCGGTCCGTCTCCGCGCCACAAAGCCTCCCCCTGGAGGCCGCAGCACCCGCCTGACACCTCCCGAAGGCGGAAGTGTCTGCGCAGAACTACATTTCCCGGAATTCCGCTCGCTTCAGAACTACACTTCCCAGAGGGCTCTGCGACCGGCTTGCAGGATTGACAGGTTGGGGGTTTGAAGCCCCTTGGTAGCTGCCAGGGTGCGTGGTTTCATTGCATTGTTATGAGAGTGGGTCGCTTGCTCTGTGTCGGACCGAGAGAAGTATGTTAACATCTCCTATTATGGGTGAACCTCTATTTCTCTCTCCGTCTACTGTACTTTCCCCTTTATGAAGTTGGTAACTGTATTGCTTGGTGCGCTGATCATCAGAACTGTTTTATAACCCTGGGAACTGCAGCCTGCAGCCTCACAGTGCCCCTCTCTGCTATGCCTTGTGGCCTAACTCTATCTTGCTTTGACATCCAGACCTGAGCACGCCTGCCGCTCCAGCGATGCCAGCCTTCTGCCGGGGCTGCGTGGCTGTGCGGAAACTGGGGCCTAGGGCTGCCCTGGACTGACGGCCCGGACTCTCGCGGAGGCCCGCCCGCTGCCTGCCTTTCCCGTTAGGTTGTTAGGTTCCAAACCTCTGTCCCTTCCCGCCTTCGGGAAGCCGGTCCAGTTAGTTGGACGCTCAGCAGAGGATTCTGGGAGATGTAGTTTTCTTCCCGGCCTGTCCCGCCCGGCTCTCGGACGCATGACGTACTTCCGCGTGCGCCGCCCCGCGGCCGTAGTCGGTAGGGGCGCCGGCGGTGCTGCCTCAGGCTTGTTGTCAGCGTTCACCAGCGGGCGGGGGGCGTTCTGAGTGTCTGTGGCCGCGGATCCGGCCATTGCTGACCAGGCTCTGGTCCAGCGGAGCCTTCCACGGTCGGTCCCGTCGTGGACGGATCCAGCCCGGCCTCTCCTCCCGCATGAGGGCCGCGGAACGGTACGGACTCACCTCTCCGGTTCCTCTGTCCAGGCTCGGAGGTCGCCTCCCCGCGGGGTACTCAGCCCCGGAACCTCGCTCTGTGGGGGCGCGAGGTCCCTCCTGGCGGGGGGCGCGGGTGGAAGCAGCAGCAAGGCCCTCACGGTTCGGTGCCTCCCCCGCAGCCTGCACGGAACCGCGCGGAATGGCCAAGACCCGGGCAGCTGCTTGTGGGGGTGAGTCGGGAATTTTCTCCTTTTCGGAGCTGACGGCGCTGGGCGGGAACACGGTCACCCCCTGCACGGCCCCCCTCCAGGGCCTGGGCTCCACGGGCTGGCCCCAGACCCACCCCCGGCCCGGTTCTGGAACCTCCCGGACCCGTTGGTCTTCCTGGCATTTGAGTCCGGGCCCTCCGCCTTCCGCAGTTACACTTTATTTGCCGGTTGCGGACCCTGACCTCCGAGGGCAGTGAGGGTCCCGGGGCTGGGGCTGGCGGTGCAGAGCTCGCTTATGCAGGGTTCCTGTTTCCGAGGAGCTGTGGTCTGGGGGGGGGGGGGGGGACGGGAGGTAATCGAGTAAACACCGGGCATAGAGGCAGGCTAATGGGTGGGGGGAGGATTTGGGGTGCAAAGCAGAACGAAGCAGGTTTGGAGGGAGGGAGGGTGCGTGGGCCGCCTGGACCGACGGAGTGAGCACGAGGGGCGACTCCAGTCGTGGCTGAACTGACGTGGAGCCGGGAGATGATGCTCACAAACTTGCCCAACCCCACGGACCAGACCGGGCCAGGGCAGCGCCGAGGGTGTTCCCGCCGGGGAGCCCTGTTGTGAGACGCATCCAGGCACCGTGTGGTTTGTGGGTGTTGAATAGACGCTGCCTGGAGTCGGTCTGTAGCCGGTGGGAATTCTCAACTGGAAATAAACAGATGAGAGGCGCCTGCGATCGCGTTAGCCCCGACGTGACTGAGCAGAGCCCCGGGAAGGGTCTGCGGGAGGACTCAGAGCAGGGCCAGGGAAGGAGGGCTGTGGAGGACAAGAAAGTTTGGAGAAGGTGTTTGTTTTCCTCCCTGTAATTTGAGAAAAGAGTATTTAATACAGTGGACTGTCCTCTAATTTTTTTGGATAAACTTCCTTGTCTCAGTTTACTATGTGTGTATGTATAGGATTCCGTTTACTTTCCTAGTATTTTTCTCTGGGAATATTGACCGGAGTTAATAATAAATGAGATTAGATTACAGTTTGTGCTGTTCTTGCCTGGCATTGTCTGTGGGATTATGCAAACTTGTACGATGCTGCGCTGTACCCATCATTTCCTGGCTCTGCATCATGTCAGATGTGAGGGGAATTTGCTGTTCCTTGGGTCAGTGATAGGACTGACTTGTAAATATAGGCTGAGACCATTACCTTTTGGAGTTGCTGTACCTTTGGTACTATTTCAATTTGTTGTATGCACATTGACTAGTTGGTCTGGCTTTCCTAATTATTTCTGGGCCAATTTTGGTTAGTTTTGTTTTCCTGGAAATTTTTCCATTCCTTCTAAGTTTTCAAATTCATGGGAATAAATTTGTAAATACAGTCAGTTCTGCAATTATATTAGCTTTATTTTTTTATTTAATTTTTTTTAATTGGAGAGAGAGATATATATAGATATACATACATGGATCGGCTGCCTCCTGCACGGAAACCCTGACTGGGAACCAAACTGGTCACCTTTTCGTCACAGGATGACACTCAGTCAACTCAGCAACACTGGCTAGGGCTCATGTGTGATTTAAAATGTGAATTTGCTTCAACATCGTGGATATCTTAGCGAACAGTGGGAGCTTTCTGATTTTAGACAACTTCTTTCCACCACTTTTTTAAAAATATTTTTTTAATTGATTTCCAAGAGGAAGGGAGGGGGAGAGAGAGATAGAAATATCAATGATGAGAGAGAATCATTGACCGGCTGCCTCCTGCATGCCCCCAACTGGGGATTGAGCCCGCAACCTGGGCATGTGTCCTTCACCAGAATCGAACCTGGGACCCTTCAGTCCGCAGTCCGACGCTCTATCCACTGAGCCAAACCATCTAGGGCTCCACCACTTTTCAATAAACTGCAGCCCCTCTGACACACGGACATCAGGTCTTTTTCAAGGTAAATTGCCATATTTATTGTAACATTTATGTATTTAACTATGAAATGTGTGTAAAACTGTTACTCCTATGTCACCTAGGGTGACTGCATCTGATTGAATGGGGTATGTGTTATTACAGGAATCGTTGTCATTCAAGGATATAGCTATGGACTTCACCTGGGAAGAATGGCAGTTACTGGATTCTGCGCAGAAGTACCTGTACAGGGATGTGATACTGGAAAACTATCGCAACCTGGTGTGTACAGGTAAGTACAGCTTCTCTGTTAATAGACTCTGAGTCATGAGTTGCCATCCCTTTTCCTTTGTTGATTTACCCTGGGGCCTCTGAAGTACTTGATGATTATGGGCATGAACTTTAGCGGTCATGTGTTCATCCCTGTTTGGCTATCACCTCCTAATTGTAAACTCTTCCCAAGTACAAATGAGCAGTGTCATGTTGTAGCTCCTGATGTCTCAATCCCGAGCAGTTTAGCCCACATCCTTTGTGATTTTCCATTAACAGGGTATCATGGTACCAAACCTGATTTAATCTTCAAGTTGGAGCAAGGAGAAGAGCCATGGATAGGAAATGCCAAAATTTCTCATCAGAGCTGTCCAGGTGGGTGCGTGGGAGCCAGGAAGACAGGAGGTGTGGGAGCGCACTGGGTGTAGACACTTTTGTCTAAAGCCCCTGAACCATGGGGCGGTGGGGTCGGGGGTCCTGCTAGTCCTCAGGTAAGGAAATGGTTGTCATTCTGCCCATGTTTGGGCTTCACACCTCTGGCTCTGCGAGGGAGGCATGCCCTCCTTTTGTACACTCCGCTCAAATATTGTTTTCTGGGTTCGTTTTCTTCCTTCTGGCACCTTCTTTCTCTGCCTTCCTTCCCTGGTCATGGACCGTCTCAGGCTTCCAGGCCTCTCACTTGGTGTCACTCATGCCCCCACTTCCCTGACGTGTTTTTTCTCCTTTGCGGTCACAGTCGAATCCCTTAGACTTTCCCCACAGTCTTTTACTTCCTTCTCTTGCCTTGACTGTCTGCGGAGATTTTATTGCCTCCTTCTCTCTTCTCACTGATCACTTTGAAGTTATAACTGTTTCTTTCTTGTCACTTTTTTTCTTTTCTTTTTAAATTCTCACTTGAGGACATACTTAGAGTAAGGGCGAGAAAGAGAGAGAAAACATCAATGTGAGAGAAAAACATTGATCAACTGCCTTCCATACATGCCCTGACTGAGAATTGAATCAGCAACCTTTCTGTGCACATGACGACACTCAACCAACTGAGCCACTCTGGCCTGGCAGGCACTTTTCTTAGAATTCTGAAGCCTAACCTGGTCTCCACTGTATTTTTAACTGATTTGATCACCTTAATAATAATTCCATGGCCCCTTTTTCCTTTTGAGTTATCCAAAGGGGTTTATTTCCCAAATTTGGCTGTTTACTCCTATAACTATTGAAAGGCTCTTCCATTCTGAAATGTTAAGCTTTTTTCTCTCTCAGTGTTATAACATCAAAATTGATCTTTTCATCTTCTTTTTCTTCTGTAGTCTGTTCCCAGGTCTGATGTGCCTGCAAGAGCGCTCCCCTGTACTTTCCACTCTTCATTCTCAGTGTCGGAAGTGGGGAGTAATTTCTTCTGAAATCACTGTTCTCCCTCAGTTTTCCTGTTGTTATGATTATTATTCTTGCACTTTTAGTCTTATATCCTTGCTCTGGGGCTCCCCTTGGGCACCCTGGTCTCTTTGCTAATCTAGGTACTGCTTTTGTTTCTGTTGGCATTTAACCCTTTGGAACATCTTTACTGTCTCCTGTCTTCTCAATTGTCACCCAGATTAGAGGAATGGAGAGGGAGAGAGAGATGGAAACATTAATGATGAGAAAGAATCATTGATCAGCTGCCTTCTGCCTGATCGGGGATCGAGCTTGCAACCCAGGCATATACCCTGACTG